CCTAACTCGGCTGCCCACGACGCCGAGTACGCTGCTCTCCTCCAATCAGGAGCAAGTCCTACAGTTTATTAGCTGAACTGGAGGGCAGCTGTGCGGAAGCTGTTTACTTCTCTCCCAGCGCCATACTGTGGGAGAGCAGATGCATAGAATCAGTCTTAATTCCAGTAACTCAGTCTAGTCCGGATGCTCCCACAGATCCCCCTTTCTTTTTATTTTTGGTGTTGATACGCGCCTGTCTTCGGTGCCCCGTGGCACACACTCTGCTCTGCTTGCTAGAGTTGCCACAGGTTCTTACAAGTCCTATCAATCAGGCAAACCGAATCCGGGTCCTCTCTTCGCCATGTTGTGAGGAGGTTTTTAGGCGCTGATGCGTGCCTGTGTTCGGTGACCTGCGGCTCATACTCTGGTCGAGCCGCCTGCTGGCGCTTACCGCCTTAATCAGGCAGACCGAATCCAAGCCTCCTAATTGTTGTATTGTGGGGAGGCCTTTCTGATGTTAATTCGTGCTTGTCTTCGGTGACCTGCGGCGCATAAGCTGCTAGCCGCCGCAGGTGCTCATCGCCTCACTTAATCAGGCAGACCGAATCCAAGCTCTCTCACTGCCATGTTGAGGGGAGGCCTTTCTATTTCTCTATTTCTCTATCTCCGGGCATTCCTACTTCTCCCATTTTACTTCCATCTTCCAGCATTCCTATTTCTCTCACTTTACTTCTAAACTTCTATTTCTCCTATCCCTGCAGCTTCCCGGCGCCTCGCCCTGCCGGCGGCTTCCCGGCGCCTCACTCCGCCAGCGGGCTCCGCCCCGAGGCTGCTTCTCAGCGCCTCGCCGGCTCTGAGCCGCTTCAGCCCGCGCCTCTCTCATCTGCGCGGCTCGGCTTTGCGCGCACACTCCGCGGTCTCGCATTTAACCCTTTCGCGTCTGAACCACGGCCTCGCGCCAGCCCCGCGTTCCCTATGTACTTGAGCCCCGCACGCTCTGTCTGCGCGCGGCAGCCTCCGCGAGTCACACAGCGTAGCTTACGTGTCCGCCACTAGCATTCAATCTAAGTTCCCCGGGCTAGCCTGGCGAATTCAACCCAGCTTACGTCTCCGCCCCACGGTTTGGCTTCCCGTCCTTTGCTCCCCGGGCTAATCAGACGGATCCCAATCTGGCTTACGTTTCAGCTTCTGGTTTCAACTTTTTCGCCCCCTATTCCCGGGCTAACTTGAGAATCCCAAAGTGGCTTTCGTTTCCGCCTCGGCCTGCCCCCCGCGGCTTCAATTTCCCTAACATTTTTTCCTACCCGGTATGTTTCCCCAAGCTTTCTTCCAACAATACTCCTCCCTCATTTCTCCTGGCCTCTCCCCACAGTCCGCATCCGAGTCTGTTTGTTCTAGCTTTCACTTTCGCTTTCGACCTTAGAGATTTCTCCCAGCTTCCCCCCGTAGTCCGTATCTGAGTCTATGCCTAGGCTTTCAATAGCTTCTTCCGGCACCTCTTTCGTCCGGCTTTTCCCTAGGCTGTTTGCTAGTCTCTCTCTCCGATATTTTCCACTTCTTCCCATTTCTTCCCTCCTAAGTTTCATATCCATCCTAAGTTTCCTATCCGAGTCACGGCACCATTATGTCGCTCCCCCTCTTCGTGGAGGAACGACACAGGACCCTGCGCTGTTCTTTCGTCTGCTCGGCCCTCCCTGGGTTTGCTGCTGGTTCTTCCTGGGTTGGCTACTGTCCCTTCCACCTCCGTGGAAGGGCAGTTCCACCTGGCCACATTCCCCACTTCCGCAGGGGAGCGGCACACCGCCGGCCGGCTCTTCTCGGGGGCTGCACAGGTGTTCCTTCAGCTAGATGTTCCCCTTAGATGTTCCCCTTAGATGTTCCTGGTGCATGCCGTCTCTCTCCTCCTTTATAGTCCTCCTCCGCCAATCCTAACTCGGCTGCCCACACGCCAAGTACACTGCTCTCCTCCAATCAGGAGCAAGTCCTACAGTTTATTAGCTGAACTGGAGGCAGCTGTGCGGAAGCTGTTTACTTCTCTCCCAGCGCCATACTGTGGGAGAGCAGATGCATAGAATAAGTCTTAATTCCAGTAACTCAGTCTAGTCCGGATTGCTCCCCACAAGACGTGGCTTAGAGAGAGGCGAGGATGTCGGGGAAGGAAGAGGTGGAGTGAGGAAACGGAGGCTGAGGAAGAGCAGAGATCCAAACCGTGGCCCCCAGGCCATCCTCTCAGACTGGCCATTGCTGCCTCGCCAGACAGAGGGAAAAGTCCCCAGGCCCCAGAGTCACAGGAAGCGCAGTCACTGACCAGCACGGCTCTCAGACCCTCCCCCAGACACGACCTCCACTCTCCATGTTAAAACCAGACATCTGCAGAAGGGTTCTCTTGAACAGGGAGGCTACAGCTCAACAATTAGAAGACACTGTTCCAATCCAATAATATCTGACAGCCTGAAACGGAAGCCCAGGGGAGGCTGTGACTTTTCTGAGGTCATCCAGAGCCAAGGCTGAATCCCAGTGCCTGGGGCTTCCTAAGGGCACAGCCCGATGGCCGGGCTGCTCTCGCTGACCTGGCTTTTCCTGAGGCCGGGGATGAGGAAGTCGCAAATACCAGCGACTATGAATGTTACAAGACCCTGTATTCTGGATTAATACGAGAACAGCAAAAACTCTCAAACTTTGTAAGTAAAACATCAGCCCCATCTATTTTACAGATGTGGAGAGAGAGGCCCAGAAAGCTTGAACAGTTTGCCTTACATTATATCCCTAGCAGAGGGAAAGGGAGCATTCAGACCCAGAATCCTTGACCAGTATCTAACACTCCCTTCCACCATCTTCCATTGTCCTCTGGATCCCCAACCCCCACCCCCCATTGCCCCTTAGCCCCCGAGCCCCCAGCAGCCTGGCCAGCCAAGACTCACATCCTCAGTTGAGTGACAACCCTGAGAAGTGGTTGTCTCAGGGCTACTGCCGTTTTTAAGGCAGGAGGCTGGAGACGAGGTCTGAGGCTGGGCCGAGGAGCCCCAGGAGCCAATGGCCCAAAGTCACCCAGGGGCGACAAGCCAGGGCGGGGGCTGGGTGCTGAGGGGGTGGTGCTGGTTGAGAGGACTTGGGTGGGGGAAGCCAAGAAGTGCTGGGGCTCAACCCGAGTGTCTGAGGAGCCACACAGACCCCGCCACGGACCGGCTGTCAGAGGGGCAGTGGGCTGGGCCGGGGGGGCGCGACCCCAACGTTTTACCTTTTTCTTGGCCGCAGCCAGCTTGCTCTGTCTGGTTTCCTCCGACATCGCGGGGCGGGGAGGGGGCGAGGGAGGGGGGCCACATCACCATGATCCCGGCAACCAACGCAAGTTGCTCCCGGCAGCTACCGCGCAGGTGTGTGACTGAGCCAGGAGACGCAGGTTCAGGGCAGAACTCGGAGGGGCTGGGTGGGCGTGGTCGCCACACTTCAAGCCCATTGGTCAGTGAGAAAGACGAAACAAAGAGGGGCGTGGTCCGAGGCGTCAAAATGGGAGCTGCACATGCAGCTCTGTCACCGCCCACTCTGGGGGCGGGGCGATTTCCCTTGGGTGCGGGCGCAGCTTTCTGGGAGCCTCTCATGGCGTCCGACACAGAATTCTAGTTAGTCTGCGGACCCCAGAGGCCGCTCTCCGGCCCGCGCCCTGGACCCCTTTTCTCCACAGGCGCCCCCGAACCGGGGCCCTCGGACCCCAGGGCTCAGGAGGTGGGCGCGGAGCGCAGAGCAGGGGACACTGCATCAGTTCACGACCCCTTTCTGACTCCTCCCAGATGTGCCCCAGACGTTCTCCTTTCAGAAATCCCCTCAGGGTCCCTTTCACGTCCTCCAGACACTGCCCTCTCACACCCAGCCCTTCCTCGAGGAGCCCCACGCTGACCCCGCCCAGCTGGATCCAGTCGGGCACGCCCAGGTCCTGGCGGCTCCTCCTCCCGCACCCCCACGGGCCCCCTTTCCCCTCAGAGCAGCTCCGGGGCCTCAGCCTCTCCCACGCTTCCCTCCAGGGCTGAGCAGGACCCGGCCGCAGCTGCCTCGGGACCTTCCGGTCACGGTGAGTAGCCCGCGCCCCCCGACCCCGTGCGTGTGCCTGCGCCCCCCCCGACCCGTGCGGATGGTTGCGGACCCCATCCCGTGAGGGTGTCTGTGCCCCCGACCCGTGAGCGTGCCTGCACCTCCCAACTCCATGAGTGAGCCTGCGCCCCCCCTATCCGTGAGGATGTTTGCGCTCCCGAACCATGAGCATGGCTACGGACCCAGACCCCGTGAGGATGCTAGCACCTCCCGACCCCGTCATGGTGGCTGCACCCCCCCGACCCGTGAGGAAGTCTGTGCCCCCAGACCTCGTGCGTGTGCCTGCGTTCCCAGATCCACGCGGATGTCTGCGCCCCCAACCAGTGGGGGTGCCTGCGCCCCCTGACTCCGTGCATGTGCCAAAGCCCCCAGACCCTGTGAGGATTTCTGTGCCTCCCGAACCGTGAGGGGGCCTGCGCCCCCTGACCTGTGAGGAAGTCTACGCCCCCCCAACCCCATGAGTGTGCCTGAGACCCCCGACCAGTGAGGATGTCCAGGCCACCGAGCCGTGAGCATGGCTGTGGACCCCAACCCCGTGCGGGGGGCTGCAGTAGACATCAACCCCGTGAGGGTGCCAGCACCTCCCAACCCTGTGAGGGTGCCAGTGCCTCCCAACCCCATGGGGGGCTGCACCCCCGACCTCTTGAGGTTTCCTGGGCCCCTCGACCCATGAGGGTGCCGGCATCCACCGATCAGAGAAGATGCCAGCACCCCAACCCTGTGAGTGTGCCTGGGCCCCCAACACTGTGAGAATGCCCGTGCCCCCCGACCCATGAGGGAGCCCGTGCCCCCCAACACATGAAGTTGCCAGTGGCCTCCAATCCATGAGTGTGCCAGCACCCCCAATTCTGTGTGGGTGCCAATGCCCTCCATCCCGTGAGGATTTCTGAGCCCACCCAATGTGGGGAGGATGTCTGCGTGCCCCCCCCACACAGTGGCATCATGACTACCCCCAGCCCTCCCCCACCCCAACCACAGCCCACAGGTGGGCCTTCCTCAGTCTTCCTGAGGAGACAAAAGGAAACCTGTTGAAGTGAAATGGACACTATGGGAAATGGTGACTTGATCAGCATAGCCCTGACTGTTAATGAACAACTTAATACATTATCCCTCTTAGTAGTTTTTTTGTCTGTTCTACTTAATATGACTGGTTTAATTCTGTAATTAATGTACAGTTATTCTTAAGTGTTGAAAATTAACTGAAATGTGATCCCTGTTAAACATAAGAGTGGGAATAAGAGAGGGAAGAGATGTATAATTTGGGACATGCTCAAGCTGACTTGCCCCAAATGGTAGAGTTAGAAACATACCAGGGGATTCCAATTCAATCCCATCAAGGTGGCATGTACCAATGCCATCTCACCAGTCCAAGTGATCAATTTCAGTTCACAATTGATCATAATGAAAGGACTAAGAGTCAAAGGGAGCACATAAACAAGCCTAGTACCTGCTAACACTAACCGATAGAATAAATAAAGGGGAGAGTGATCCAACATGGGAAGTGAGATACTCAGCAGACTCATAGAATGGCAGATGTCCTAAATAGCACTCTGGCCTCAGAATCAGCCCTAAAGGCATTCGGAGCTGGCTGAAAAGTCCATGAGAGTATTTCAGGCATGGAAAGCCAAGACACTCTGGCAATAGATCTCTGTGAGTGAGATCCCTGTGGAAAGAACAGGTCATCAAAGAAGGAGGTACCTTTCTCTGAAGGGAGGAGAGAACCTCCACTTTGACTATGACCTTGTCTAAACAAGATAAGAGTCGGAGAACTCAAGGGGCTTCCATAGCCTTGGAAACTCATGACTGGAGCATAGGGAGATTACTGATGCCATAGACAGGAGTGTCAATTGGTAAAGTCAACAACAGGAGTCATTGTGCACTTACTCCTCATGTAGGATCTCTGTCCTTAATGTGCTGTGCATTGAGATTTAATGCTATAATGAGTACTCAAACAGTATATTTCACTTTGTGTTTCTATGGGGGTGCAAACTGTTGAAATCTTTACTTAATGCATACTAAACTGATCTTCTGTTAAAAAAAAAAAGAAATTATCAATTCCCAACTTGACTCTCACTGGGATTAAACATGACAATAGGTCTGATCTGATTTCATCATCATTTAAAAAAATCATCTATTATTTTTCACTTTATGTTTCTGTGTGGGAGCAAACTGTTGAAATATTTACTTAATGTATACTAAGCTGATCTTCTGTATATTAAGATAATTGAAAATGAATCTTGATGTGAATGGAAGGGGAGAGGGAGCAGGAAAGGGGAGGGTTGTTGGTGGGAGGGACGGTATGGGGGGGAAGCCATTGTAATCCATAAGTCGTACTTTGGAAATTTATATTCATTAAATAAAAGTTAAAAAATAATTTAAAAAAATTAAAAAAATATGGTTGAGGGTCCTATTAATATCGTTTCTGATAGCTTATATGTTGTTAATGCTGTTAAGAGGCTAGGCTCCCCTTCGCTAATATCCAAAAGTTCTACAGTGTTTCCTTATTTTGAGCTTGTTCAGCACGCTTTATTTAGGAGATCAGATCCCATTTTTATCACCCATATTAGAGCACATACCTCTCTGCCAGGTCCTCTCACCGCGGGAAATGCCCTTGCTGATCAACATTCCCGCTTCCTTTTAGCTTGCACTGCCATGGAACAGGCAACGGAATATCACAAACTTTGGCATGTTAATAGTAAGACCTTAAGGATGAGGTTTAATATCCCTATTCGTAAAGCTAAATCTATTGTCCAAAATTGTGAAAAATGTGTTATTCATCAGCCTGTTACTATGCCCACTGGAGCTAATCCCCGGGGCCTTTATCCATGTCACATTTGGCAAATGGATGTAACGCATATCCCTGCCTTTGGCAAGCTATCCTGTGTCCATGTTACGGTGGATACTTACTCAGGAGTAGTTATGGCTACCACCACCACCAAAGAGTCTGCCTCCCATGTAATGCAACATATGTTACAATGTTTTGCTTCTTGGGGAATTCCTAATATAATAAAAACTGATAATGGACCTGCTTATACTTCTAAGGCTTTTGCTGAGTTTTTAGCAACTTTTCATATCTCTCATTTAACCGGCATCCCATATAACCCTACTGGACAAGCCGTTGTGGTGGCACTAATCTGTATCTGAAAAATTTTGTATTAAAACAAAAAGGGGGAATAGGGGCACTATCCCGTTCCCCTTAAAGACATTCTCAACCTCGCCTTACTTACCATAAATTTTTTAAATAAAAAAGCTGATGGTCTCACCCCGGCAGAACGTTATGTAATCTCGGAACAGACCCCCAATAGTAATAAACCCCATGAACCGACAGAAGCTCAGCCACCCGTTAGAAAAATGATTATGTGGAAAGACCCAGAAGATAACAAATGGAAAGGCCCATACCCATTAATAAGAAGGGTATGAGGTTCTGTTTGTTTTCTCCCACAGGAAGAAAAAAATCCAATCTGGACTCCAGAAAGACGGACAAGAACAATAGAGTAGCGAGATGATCGTGATTCTACTCCTACTAATAATGACACAACTGTCACCGATGATGGCCAAGCTGGATGAGTATTGGGGTCTCTTGAGAGCCCTACCTCTCCTTCTACCTGTTTCTAATTCTTCTAACCTTCTGCCAGTTGTGTATTTGCATAACTCTACCATAGGTGAAAGATTCGGAGTGCCTTACAACAGTCTTGTCAATTCTTCCCATCAGGGCCAGGTTAACTTACCCATCCACCTTTCGGGAGCGCTATGCTTCCATAAGCCCAAGTTTGGTACAGATCTTTGTGGTTATAATTATACCGGCTTTCCTATGCCATGCATTAATTTGGCCACTTATTCCATGGGAGATGTTATCAACTGGAATGAGTCAGGTAGTTCTTACACAGCCAATATTACAGGGGAACTTATAGCCTTTTGATCTGAGTCACTACCTCTCAGGTGCCAGGAGTGTCACAGACCATTTGCTCCTTACCCTCCTACCAATCCACTTCCTTCTTGCACTCCTCAGGCACCCCCAATTCTCCAGATGCCTGTCCACCTCTGATCGATTCCCTGTTGCTCCTTAATGTTAATTTCTTTGCAGCTTCTTGATTTGCCTTTTCATCACCCAACGAAACCCATGTATCATCCCCTGTTTGCCTTCAGCCTCCCTTCTTTTGGTATTGCTGTAATGCTACTAATAATACTTGCACTACAGGAGTTATTTCCTCATGTGTTAAAGGAAAATTAAATGAAGTGGAAACACTGGTGGTTGTGCGGATTCCCATTTGGGTTCCTGTACCAGTTGCGGTGCCTGAGAAGGACTTCTCAATGGCTGTTTGACACAGGAGAGACTTTGGGGTCACCGCAGTCGTTGTTGCAGTAATTGCGGCGTTATAAGCTGGTGTGGCCACTATTGGCATGGCCGTGAGCCAAACCTCCACACTGTCCACACTTGATAGCATCACAAGATCTACCGCCCAGGCACTTGATGATATACTGCTATTCAGCTGTTAACTCAATGAACGGATTTATTGCAAGATCAGGCCTGGCTGGCATACCCTGTGTTATTCGATCTACTGCAGTTTGTGTTACCGCCTACCCCTACAACCACTTCTCATTTGCCGCTAATCAGTCCCATCTTTTGGGTAGCATTTAAATGGTAGTTGGAATCCAGTTGAACAATGGGCCGCTATTATAGGGCTGGCTCTTGTGCTTATAACAGGATCAATTATTGCTCGGATCTTGCAAGGGCTGCTCAGGTGTCAGCGTAATACACAAATGGTGGTTAAATAAGCCATGCTAACATTCAATAACCAGTACCCCATGCAAAATGGACAGATTCAGGTGTGGCTGAATCTGCTGGACTGGTAGTCAAAGACAGGGTAAGTTCTGAGAGGTCTTCAAGGCAACCTAAGACAGGGCATGAACGCTCCCTCCACACCTCATGTTCATGTGCCAATGATGGGTAAGCCCGATAGATGCTGTTGGTCACCTAAGACAGGCACAGTATCACTCCATTTTGCAAAGCAATAAGGGGGAGATGTTGGGGAATGGGACAGCCTGGCCAGCTGTGCCCCTCCCGACATGTACAAGCACAAGAAGTTTAGTGCTGGGCTTTTTCCACCCTGCCCGTTGCTAACCGCAAGATCCTGTTTTGACTTTAAGCATCCTGTTATTGCATGTTTCCCACATTTACTAAGTTTTGTTACTTGCTGATTTGGTAACATGTTTTCCGTGAATCATATATAAACAGGTGGACGGTGGGAGAGGGATATATAAGAGGGTTGGAGGAGGCGAAGACAGCGGGTGTTCACGACATGTAACCCGAGTCCGAGTCTGCTAAAAAATAAAGTGGAAGCTGAAAAGCCGATAAACGCGTCTGGTGTCTCTGAGGTCTCTCTGGCATTAACCTATCTGGAAGGTGCACACCTGCAACTCACCTTTTTAAAAAAATTTTATTTCATGTTTCAGTTCTGATATTTCTGTCTTCTAACTCTGGGATTTTCTTGCTTTTTGCGGTCCTTGAGGTGCATTGTTGTGTTTGTTGCACTTCCATTTCTTAGGCCATCCTCTGCTACTTTCCCAGGTGCATCAGCAGGGAGCTGGATCAAAAGTGCAGCAGCTGGGATTTGAACTGGCACCCATATGGGATGCCGGTGCTGCAGGCAGAGGCTTAACTTGCTACACCATGGTACTGGCCCCTCAAATCCATTTTTCAAAGTTCATTCTGATGCACCCTAACCTCTGCTGCTGCCTGGAGGTGCTCGCAGCCTGAGCCCTGAGGGGCCGTGTGGCATCCTGGCCAGCCTCGAGCACCCTTGGTATGGCTTTGGCTCACAGCTAGTTAAATGCCCTTGAACTTGTCCCCCATGTACACAAAAATTATCTAGGGGCTGGTGTTTGTGATGTAGCAGGTAATGCTGCTGCCTGTGATGCCAGCATCCCATATGGGCACCAGTTCAAGTCCTGGCTGCTCCACTTCCAGTCCAGCTCCTTGCTAATGCACCTGGGAAATTAGTGGAGGATGGCACAAGTGTTTGGGCTCCTGCAGCCATGTGAGATCTGGAAGAAGCTCCTGGCTCCTGGTTCTTGACTTTGGTCATGGCCAGCTTCAGCCATGAGGCCATTTGGGTAGTGAACCAGTGGATAGAAGATCTGCCTCTCTCCCCCCCTCTCCCTATAACTCTGCCTTTCAAATAAATAAAAATAAATCTCTAAAAGATTATCAAAAATATGTTGATACTGAGATCACATACAGCATCCTAAATATATAGCCCCTTAGTCTGAGTCCATGCCACCTACAATAGCATACACAAATTCTGCTCCTGTGTGCCTTGGTCCAATACTGCTTTTCTTGTTATTGATAACATAGTCATGCCTTGTGTGCACAAACTTGCCTGTGTATAATTAATTTTATGTAATTCCCTCTTAAGTGTTGTAGGAGTAAAAGGTGGATTCCTGGGGCAGCAATAAGTCACCTCTTGGTGTCTACATCCCACATAGGATTTCCTGGGTTTACATCTGGTCCAGTCCTGATTTCAGCTTCCTCCTGATGTGCACTGTGGGAGACAACAAGTCTCACAAGGGCCCAAAACACAGCCCACAGTTCTTTGTGGGCTCCAGTGTTGGAGTGTGGGTGGGCGTGGATGATACGGGACTTTGCTTGTCATGGAATGGGAGCTGGAAACACATCTGCTTAGAAGCTGACAACCAAGGCACAGAGATGAGTCTGAATCCCATTGTTTCAAGCATGTGGGGGCAAAACCCCCAAGCTACTTCTTGGAATCCAGTGCCACCACTAGGAGAAGTACTAGGCTAAGACTGCCGGGGGGTGTGTTTGGGAATTTGTAATTTGCCGGAGGATACAGACATGCAGGCAGTTTACAATAGACCCTTTCCGGGCCATATTCAGGAGTGGGAGATGATTTCCCTCAGATGAGAGTGTGAGTTTTCTACATGAGTGCAGATTTGTGTTAGCCAATATAGTATATCTTCTCCTAGACAAGTCCTTGTTCACCCCTCACACATACTGCTCTGCACAAAGGTGCCTTGCCCAAGAACTCCTCTTCACTATTCCTCCCTGTGAGAAGTAAACACTTGGTTCATTTTCAAAGTAAGAATGGTAGATTCCGTGCACATGAGTTTTTAGGAACCCAGGAAGGTTGTGGCCAAACAGCTGAAGCAAATGCCAGGAAGATTGTCACGCTGTTGTTACTCAGCCAATGAGGAACTGGGGGAGGGATCTGCTTGCTAGGAAATAAATAGCTTTCTGGAACCTGCTCCCAGTGTGCTGGCACAAAGCGTTGCAAGATCGGAAGTTGGGTCTCGCTCTTGTTGCACTCGCTGAGTCGAGTCCATCGCTTGAGTGAATGAGTGAGGCTGTTTCTCACACAGACCAAGCTTTAGGAATCATCTTTCAGCCAATGGAGGGCTGCCCGTGGTGTGTGTGTGTGTTCCCCGAGAGGCAAACATGCGTGGTCTTGCCTTCATTATGTGCCTGTGGTTTCCTGGGCTGTCCTGAGCTTCAAAGACCCCCAGGGATGAGAGAAGGCAGGGACTGCAGTTTCCTTGCTGTGGGAACTGAGGTGATGCCCGTGAAAGCATACATTTTGCCCACATGAGAGGGTTGTTTGGAGAAGGCTGCACATCTAGCAGCTAGCAGAGCTGCTTCCTGAGTTCAGGAAACTTGGCCCTGGTTGCAGTGCTGGTCACAATGGGGTGAGGGTGAGGGACTGAGCTAGAGCTCAGGGCTCCGCTTCAGGGGGCTGTGCTTAGTCTGAAGTTTTACTCTTTCTGCTGATGCCTTTTTTTATGTATTTGAAAGAGTTACACAGAGAAGGAGAGGCAGAGAGAGGCAGAGAGAGAGAGGCAGAGGCAGAGACAGAGAGGCAGGCAGAGACAGAGAGGGAGATGTCAGTCTTCCATCTGCTGGTTCACTCCCCAGTTGGCCATAATGGCCAGAACTGTGCTGATCTGAAGCCAGGAGTCAGGAGCTTCTTCTGAGTCTCCCATGCAGGTATAGGGGCCCAAGGACTTGGGCCAGCTTCTACTGCTTTCCCAGGCCTTAGCAGAGAGCTGGATCGGAAGTGGTTCAGCCAGGTCTTGAACTGGCACCCATATGGGATGCCGGCACTGCAGGTGGCGGCTTTACCTGCTATGCCACAGTGCTGTTCATCCTTATGACATTGTTGTGCTTTTTTTTGAAGATTTATTTATTTGAAAGTCAGAGTTTTACACACACACACACACACACACACACAGGTCTTCCATCTGCAATTGGCCGCAACGGCTGGAGCTGTGCTGATCCTGAATCCAGGAGCTTCCTCCAGGACTTGGACCATCTTCCTCTGCTTTCCCAGGCCATAGCAGAGAGCTGGATCAGAAGTGGAGCAGGCGGGTCTTGAACCAGTGCCCATAGGGATGCTGGCCCTTCAGGCCAGGGCATTAAGCCGCTGCAGCACAGCGCTAGCCCCTGTCTTGTCTTCTGATTCCTGGTGTTTCCAAACTCTCCATCTTCCTGTCCTCCAGTGAGCCCCTCCCCTTGCCTGTCTTTTTCACCCCTTCTCCCCTCCAGCCCTTCCTCCTCCTGTCTGCCTATGCATATCAACTGTTATGGCTGTGAATGCAAAGGCCTGCCTTACTCCTGGTGTTTCATTTCATGTTTGATTCTAGTATGAAAGGTGATTTTATGTAATGACTGGACGGGGCCACCAAGTGCCCACACATTTGGCCAGGCATAAATTTGATGTTTCTGTGTGGGTACTTCTGGCTAGGTTTAACATCTGTAGACTTTGTCAGGGAAATCGCCCTTCCTGGTGAGGTTTGAGTAGAGCAAAAGGGCTACTCAGTCCGTGAGCAGGAGCGGACCCTCCTACCTTAGTGCCTTAGATAACTGACCAATACTCTGATAGTGTCCTAGAATTGAATGAATGGCTCTCCTGGGTCTCCAGATGGGGACATGGACATGTTGGTCCCTGGGATCCTCCCCAAATGACTCAGGAGTGTCAGTAGCTGTATAATGCATCTTTCTTTGCCAATACAGGCAAATGCCAGATACATAGAGGGATGAATGGATGGTTAAATAGATTCAACAGATGCACATACATGGAGACTTCTGCATTCTGTTGTTTCTACTTACATTGGCATTTCTGGTTAATTTCCACAGAAATCTTGAGGATCTGAATTATGCTAAGGTGTCAGGCAGTGTGGTTTTGTAAAGATGAAAGAAACGGCAGTGTACCCTGAACGCACAAGCTTGGTGGGTAGATAAAGCAAACTCACCTAAGAAGACAAAGAACAAATCAAAGTAGAGCACAGGGAGATGCTTTGTCTCGCAGAACAGGAGCACAGTTGAAATGTGTGCCTGTGTAATCCGCAATGAGGCCAATTGTGGTCAGAATAAAATTAACTCACCTGTTTCGGGGATCGGTAGGAGCAGTAAGACACCCTGGTTTTTCCTTAGATGAGCTGATTCCTCCACGTTGGCTGTCTATCAGCCACACCTGGGTAGACCCCTGAGCTGTGATGACCCGAAGATCTCAACACGTTTCAGCCTTGCCTGAGCCTGTGGGTCTGGCCAGGCATTAGATTCCCTCCTTGCAAAATGCCCTGCATGGTGCTGAAATAGTTTGTCCAAGCTCTCTGTCTGATGGCTGAACTGCTAGTGGTGATGTACTAGTGTGTTCTCATCCCAGATTAGATCCGTGGTCACAGCTTCAGTGAGATACTCTTGGAATGGAGGAGCTAAATTGTTCATGCTCCCCTGGGACCTGTCTAACCAAATCTAGTTGCAAATGATACAGTAGCTTCTCTGGGGAAGGAAGATTGTTTCTTTGGTTTCTAGGAATAATCTATTGTTACACCTAGAAGAAGAGTCTTTGGGTGGAATCCAAAACTCCCCAGCCAGCTGTCTGGTGAGTGGCACACAGGGAGGTGCACAATGTACCATAGTGATTCTTTTTTATGATTTATTTTATTTATTTGAAATAGGTAGAGACAGAGAGGTCTTCATCCACTGTCTCACCCCAAGATGGCCACAATGGCCAGAGCTGTGCTGATCTGAAGCCAGGAACCAGGAGCTTCCTTTGTGTCAGGATCTCCCCCTTCGGGAAATGGCCAGGTTACCACGAAGGAAGAGTCGAGGAGACTGAGGAAGGTCAAGCTAAACACACTTTATTGATACTCTAGGCGACTAGGAGGAGAGATCGCTCAAGCCTACTCCTGCGGACGTTAGGCAGTACGGACCAGGAGCTTCTCCCCGCGGGCACTAGGCACTACGGACCCGGGAGAGAGGCTGAGCAACCTCTGGTTTACAGCAGCTGAGGGTCCCTTTATATAGTTTCTAGAGGCTAGCCCTGCCCACATTCCCACCCCCCAGGGTCCCATCATCATGGCAATGACAGTTTGTGGTTAGGCCCTCTAGGCCATCGGTTTTCAAATCTTACCAGCTAGGGTGGCTACTACTCTACGTTTCCTTCAAGCTGGGCGCGACTGCGACTGCGACTGCGGCTGCACAGTTATTTTCTTTCAAAGGGTGCTACAGTTACTTTCTCCATGAATGGTTCCCTAACAGTCCTCCCTTTTCTTTTCTTTAAATGTGCTCGTAGCCCTGCAAAGCCCATTGAGCTGCTGGGCCAAGGGGATGAACATTCTTGAGCATATTCTGGATTGATTTCCAGATTCGGGATCTTCCTTTTCTTCTATTTCTGGTGGGCTGGGTTCCTTTCGGAGGGCTTGTGTAGGCATCCTAATATCAGACAAAATAGACCTTAATAAAAAAACTTAAGAGACAAAGAAGGGCACTGTGTAATGATTAAGGGATCAATTCAATAGGAAGATGTGACTATTATAAACGTATATGCACCCAATTTCAGGGTACCTGGCTATTTAAATAAATGTTAAGGAATCTAAATGGAGACATAGACTCAAATGCAATATTAATGGGGCACTTCACACCACACTTAAGCAATGGATAGATGAACCAGACAGAAAATCAGCAAGGAAACAGAAGAGGTTATTGATACTATAGACCAATGGACCTAACAGATCTCTCTCTCCAGTGTATGGAACTTTCTCTAGTATCAGCCACATGCTAGGCAATAAAGCAAGTCTCACCAGTTCCAAAGAGTCATCATCATACCATGCATCTTCTCGGACCATCATGGAATGAAACTGGAATTCAGCAACTCAGTAATCTCTAGAACATATGCAATCACATGGAGACTGAACACCATGCTCCTGAATGAGCAGTGGATCTCAGAAGAAATCAAGAGATTTTGACTGAGCACCAAAAAGGAAACCTGTTGAAGTGAAATGGACACTATGAGAAACAGTGACTTGATCAGCCCTTGTCCTGACTGTCGGGGAACAACTTAATACTTTATCCCTTTTAGGTTTTTTTGGTTCTACTTAATACTTAATACTATTGGTTGAACTCTTTAATTAACACACAATTATTCTTAAGTGTTGAAACTTAACTGAAAAGTCATCCCTGTAAAATATAAGAGTGGGAACAAGAGAGGGAGAAGATGTACAATTTGGGACATGCACAAGCTGGCTTGCCCCAAATGGTGGAGTTAGAAACGTGCCAAGGGATTTCAACTCAATCCCATCAAGGTGGCATGTACCAATGCCATCTCACTAGTCAAAGTGATCAGTTTCAGTTCACAATCAATCATAATGATAGGATTAGAGTCAAAATGATCACATAAACAAGCCTAGTGTCTGCTAATACTAACTGATAACATTAAAAAG